TTGTTTGATAAATGAAATCTACAATTGTAAGGAACATATATATACTGATTTCCTTTACTCTGCAGCATTTAAAATATTCCAACTGACATTTCACTTATATACAGTAAAACACATAAATCTTAAGTATACGGCTTGATGAATTTTTATAAATGTACACACCCATGTAAAAACCACCCAGATTAAGATATGGAATATTTATTTCTAGCTCCCAGCAGGCTTCCTTTTGCCCTTTCCCAGCCAATTACCTACCCAAACTTATCACTATTCTGACCTTGATCACCAGGGATTAGTTTTGTGTGCTCTTGAATGTCATATAAATGGAATCTTGTTTAATGCAGTCTTTTGAGCCTGGCTTCTTTCACTCAACATGAAATTGTGAGATTCATTTATGCTGCTGTGTGAAGCAGCAATCCCTTCATTTTCATGGCTGTGTAGTATTCCAGTATCTGATACAATAACAATTTACTTATCCATTCTGTTGTTGATGGACATTGGTGTTGTTTCCAGTTTAGAGGTATTTTGTGATGGTTCAGTGGGTTTCCTTGGTGATGACTTGAGGAGTTGCCGAGATATATAGAACTGATTGCCCCAAATAAGTTGTTTCAGTTGTGTCTACTCTTTTGTACCTCTCAGCCTTGATTTGTTTATCTCTCTATTGTTTATAACAAGCTTAGAAATTCTTATAGGAACCTGTTATCTACTCACATTTTATTATAAAAATAAGAAAAATGTGCTCTAGGCTTAAAAAAGGAAAGTGGTAGTTTATTTTTTTAAAACTATTAAAAGTACCTGAACATTCTGAGCACAGTTTTCTTTAAAATTAGAGCCAGCTTTTTCTAGATTATGCAGCTTGTCTGGGAGTCTGAACTTCCTACTATGGAATTGGACATCTGCCATTATGGGCTGAATTTATTTTCTCCAAATTCATGTGCCAACACCTTGATCTTGGACTTTCAGCTTCCAGAACTGAGAGAGAATAAAATTCTATGTATAATACCCCCCCTCCAGTCTATGGCATTTTATTATAGTAGACGTAACTAACTAGCAAACTAAGAAACCTCCGCAAATAGTTTTCCAAATGTCACAAGGTAACATCTATAAAATAAGTCTTTTTCTTAATTTTTCATTTTTAATCAGAAACCAGCAAACCCCAGAGTTTACCAGTGCTTTAATGTGCCACAAACTAGTCCTTCAGTAGCAGGCCCATGCAGCCCACATGTCCTTCCTCTATTGGGCTGTCCCTGTGGCCACATGCTGCCCACAAAGCCCCAGAAGGCGCTCCAGCACTGCTGCGGTGGACAGTGCCCTCGGTGAGTACTAGGATGCTGCTGTTTCCCAAGTTTTCAAAAGTTGCTG